CACACACACACACACACACACACACACACACACACACACGAGGGTTTCCAGCCTTTGAGTCAAGCTTACTGCCTTTAGACATTATTTTCCATCTAACATCAAACTCCTCACACATCTGACTCACTAACGTCTCCGTTTGAAATCCTACACACACCACACTGCTGGCTTGACTCATTACCAGTCTAAATTATGAATATTGACAACATTTTGTTTCAACAAGCCTGCTTTGAGACAGTAAAATGCTGAAACATCACAGGTTCTGTATCCAATTGTCAAGTTTATTGTTGCCACGCTGTTAATACCAGGCCGCTTCTAAAAGGCGAGGGAGACGTGATTACCTACATTTAATTAAACCCTAGGACATTAATGTGGAGTGTTAATATTCATAGTAGGAGACACTTAGTGATCATATATTCTTGTTACTGACATGACCTGCTGAAGTAAGTCATTGCTGGCCACAAAGCACTACAAGAACTGTATATTTCCATCATGACGTTTATGTTGCTCTCACATCATCAGAAACTCCAACCAATGCCAAACACAAATAGCATAGTAACACCTGTGACCACTGAGTTTTGCAATATACTGAACTAAGCTTTCATGTACCAACTATGACAATACGACAAATGTTACTAACTGAACAACAAGAAGACAATCAGACTTTGAATATCCAAATATCTGATTTATCTGCTTTTACAAACATGTTATTCAGAAGTGCAGAGCAAAAACATGGACACACAGATATCCCCTGCTTCACTAAAGCTTCAGTATTCGAAGTCAAAGCAGTAGAGGGTGCTGTTTACCACTACATCAGGGTAGTACTCTGCATCCATACTACTGCTAGATTTTACAATTTTAATGATAAATTGAGCCATTATTTCATCTTAAAGTCTTGGAACAATTAACTTAGCCTAAAAAATATAAATAAATAGATCTACAAAGCATCCCAACAAATTAACACTGCTCTTTTTAACTTTCTGGAACTTTAATCAATCACAAACACGTCTCCCTACATCTTTAAATTCATATAAGAGCATTACCAAGGTTAAGCCTTAACAAATTAAGTATATTTTTATCAAGATGTGTCTAGTGAAATTATGCAGGACGTGAAGATTTAAATAAATGTGCTCCTGGCATAGATCCAGAAAACATCACTCACCAGTATCTTGGACTTTTCGTGCTCTTCGAGGGATTTTCCTTTCTCTATGATGAGGGCAGAGGTCAGCTCATCCAGGCCAGTGATTGCTGCATTCTCGTTCTCCCTCTGGGCCAGTTTGGCCAACTCCTCCTTCACCATGGCCTGTTGACGTTCAAAGCTAAAGTAATTGAAACATGAGATCTATTAACCTTTGACACTTTATTTTGCAATGGAAAGCCCTCTGAAGTTTTTGTTCGCATACCGGGTTAGCCACTGAGGTTTTACAGATATTGCTTTATGCAAAGCATTACAAATAAATGTGGAAAACGCCTACAGAAGTCACTTCCAGAATGTTACACATGGTTTTCCACTGTAATGTGATAGAAAAGTAAAATATACATAGAGTAAATTAACTGCATTGCAATGAGCATGAGTGAGAACTGCTGGACTTCAATATGCAAGTCTTCAGAGGCTCAGCACAGCATATAGGCACTCCAACAGCACAGAAACATGCCCGTTATACAGAGTAATGTAGCACAGGCAGTGTCAATAGGTCACTCGGCATGTGTATGTTTGCAAAACATTGCACACTGTGTGCACTTCATTTCAAATATCTGTCAACTACATGTATTCAACATGAATTCAGCTGCATCTGTTCCTTAACCAACTATGACAGAAATACAACTCAATTTGTGACAATTTGATATCTGAAATCAAGAATGTGTCTCAAACAGGTTTACAGTCTATGGCATGTAAAATCCAAGTCCTTAGCCTTGTGAACATGGTAAGAAAAAAAAAAAAAAGCTCCCGTCAGTAACTGCTAGAAGAAACTTCAGAAAAAGCACCAGAGGAGTGATCCCTCTACAGACAAATAACAGGTTGTGTGTGTACAAAACAGAGCAACTTACAGGACAAATTCTAAACATGTAAACAAGCATGACTGAACACAAGGGAACAGTGACCTTGACATTGTGAGCACCTACTTTTTTCGCATTTCCTCTTGAATTTCTTTAGAAGATAGTCCTGATGGTTTTGCACCTAACACACAATTGGATAAGGATTACTGATGCATATAAAAATGACAGTATGAACCCGTTTGCAGGATTTGCAGCAGGGTTAGGGGTGTGTATAATAAGATCCCTTCAGACATGAATCATGGCAAAGCTATCTACTGCAATTATACTATATTTTGATGCTGTGCTCAAGAATCAGTGCATGGGAACATATTTGCTGCAGTTACAATGGGAAGTTTGTGAGACAGGAAAGGCCTTTGACCAGCGACATACTTGATGGTGGTGGTTTGTGACTGTCCGGCAAGGACTTTGGTGGCTTGTTGCTATCAGACCCCTGAGACTCCCTCATCCTGCGGAGCACATCTTCTGAGAGCTGGATGGGATTAATAAACACATGCAATGCAGTGTAAATGTATACCAGATTAAATCTTAAGAGGTTTAAAGTCCATCGCCTAGCCTATTCAAGTGTCCTATAACACAGAAAATACTTCTGTACACCTCACCAATCCAATGACAAGGTATTGAAACAAATGCTAGCTAGCTATTTGCCTGCATGGATAGAAAAGATTACATATTCTCATGCTGCAAAACTGCAAATATGTTGATGACAATCCCCATGTTTCATGACATGTACTTCTGATTACAGAAGTCAACAACAGCAAAGGACTTAACGTGTTTGCTGTTGTTGACATAGCGTCTTAGCTATCAGCGGTTTGCTGTGGAAATAACACCAGCATCTCATGTGACCTAGTGCTGTGAAATTGTCCGCTGTGCTAGCATTTTATCAGTCATTATTATACTAATAAAATAATAACCTACTAATCTAAGAAAAAGGGCAACAGTAGCTGGACATGACAGGAAAAAGAAGTTCTGACCCGGGTTCATTTAAGGACACTGGACCTGTCAGGCTCGCAGCAGACAGACGGATACCACCACAAAATCCCACTACTGCCTCTGCCATTAGCCGATATACCGTAACAATAATAATAATAATAATAATAATAATAATTAAAACTGTGGTGTGAATTACCCCGAAAGCAACAACGTTGTACTCTATACCTTCACTCCTTCAATTACTGTGACCTTCTCGTCTTCGTCCAGTCCGAATGACACTTTCCTCGCCGTGCTCCCGTTTCCTCCCATTTTGACCAGTTTTCCGTTCCCACTCAATTAAATCACGCAATACAAGCCAAGTCGACTGTTATGTGAAGAAGACATAAATTGGAGAACAGCTCGAGTCGCCGCCTCAGCGACTGCTGGTCAAAATACTCCAATAAAGGTCATTTTAACGCTTCAGTATCCTGAAAGCTCATTGGCCAGATTTTACATTACAGATCCAATGGCTAACAGTAGCTTATCGTAAACGGACGAAGGGTTGATGGGAATTGTAGTTAAACACAAGACTGACGAATCTAAAATGCGACCTGTGCGGTATATTTAAGATCATACAGAGCGCATTTGCTCACACACACACACACACACACACTATAGATAGTAGAAAAAAACAATTGAAACAAAGAGTTCACTGTTTATTCTTTAGTTCATGGAATGCTTAACACCTTGATTTGACATGGCTGGAATATTGTACAATAAATGCACTTCAATAAAAACGCAATTTTAAACATCATTTCCAAAGGATTTCACCATCAAATGTTTTCAAGAGTGGAATTTTGCTGTGATGCAACTTGTGAACTCTTGTCCAACAAAAGGAAAAGAATATTTTAATCCATTACCCCACATAAAACAACAAATTTACATTTGAGGATAAAATATTTCAAATCAGGAAAAATGCAAATGAATCATATGATGAAAAACATCAATGCAACCCCCTATTTTTCTTTCTTTCTTTTTGCATATTGGTTACAACACTATGCTGATGAATACTGCTAGCTTAAATACAGCAATCACCTCATACCAAATATTGTATTTTCCTTGGCAACAGTATGCAATATACTTATCCTTGTCAATGTATTACAATGATCCAATGCAAGTGCCTGACCTTGTTTGTCAAAAGACAAAAGTTTAAACTATGTAATGAAACTGTATCAATACCCCCATTTGATACTATGAAAACAGTTGTTTTTGGTGTACGTTCACCACTTGTGGTAACATTTGTAACTCTGAATATAGGGGAAAAAATCAAATCTGCAACAGCAACCTTTGGCAGCAAGCAAAACTGGAAAACCACTGGTATCAATCACAAGATTGACGTGGAATACACAAATAAGTTTGTGCAAATTTTGTCTTTTATCTCAAACACATAACTTGCCAACAAATGTCATTTCACTGGCAGCATTGATTAATCTGGAATTAAAGTAAAAAGCACACAAAAAAACCAAACAAAAATGAAAAGATGTCATCCACAAGATCTGGGCCCGTATCCCTAAAGAATCTTTGTGCAAAAAGTGGCTCCTAGCGGCCAAATTCTAAGAAAATTCTCAGAGTCATGACGTTTTCTTAGAATTTCCCCTAAAAGTGACACGACAATCCCAGTTAATATAAAAGCTATTCCTCAAGATTCCTAGCGCTTAAAAGGGCTCCTAAGGCGAGATCTGCTAAGAGCAGGGAAGAGGACTTTTAGTGGCTTAGGAGTTCCCCTAAGCAGCTGCACAAAATGGCCAACAGAAGAGGCAGGAGAGATGTCCTGCAAACACTGGATGACAGGGAATTATTGAGATGCTACAGAGTGGATCGTGCAGGAATCATGTTTGTGGTGGATCTCCTTAGAGATGCAATTACTTCACCAACTCGACGCCACAACGCTATTACACCGGAGACGAAAGTAATCACAACCCCGAGGTATTTGGCAACCGGGAAAATGCAACAATGCAGCAGTGATGACTTGGGTCTGCAATCACAGACATTGCTAAAAGCTGAGCCGTGTTACCCTCGTTAAGACCACACTGGACTTGTAACGTTGTGATTTCTACTTCATTAAGGACAGCCTCTTGAGATAGGCCATCTTGTTTTCAACGGGGTCCATATGGGAGTGAAAGTACAAAATATGCCAGCTAGGATATTAATATGAGCAAATAAGACACGAATCATTATTTGAACAGGGTGTAATGAGTTTTTCACATATTTTAGATTCTAATGTTAGGCTATAACCCCTACAGCTTACTATTCATTTTCCAGATATTTTCTTGAATGTGAAATATTATTTACAATTACAGTCAGCATAAGATTAGAGTATATAATATGTTTATTGATTTGAGGGTACATCCTTTGCTCATTATCACCAAAAGCTCATTTCCATCAAACTTGTAGGATCAACCAATCACGGCTTTTGAAATGATGACTCATACCTAGCAACGGGGTCAACCACACCTCCTCACTAAGATAGGATTTTCCATCCATTCCTTGCTCAGAGTTCACTGAAAATGTTCTGGAATCACTTCTAAGCTAAAACTCCTGGCAAGGAATTTTTAGGTTAAGTTAGGAGCTCTCTGAGAGGATTCTCAGAATCTTTAGGGATACGGGCCCTGGCTTCAATTGTTAGGAATTGTCCTTTGTGTCTGTGACATTCTGCCCTTTAACACCAATGCGTTGCCTGTATTCAGCAGCTCCCTATTATAATGAAGTGACATACAACACAACAACACTGTTTTACTTGTCAACACATACCAAATGAATTAGCACAAGTCTTTGAAGTGCTTCCAATAAGCAATGTGACCAGTGCAAACTGATTAGCCTGATTGGTCACAAATCTTAAGTCAGATGAGATGCTGTTACTGAAAGTCTTCAGTGGGAATGTACAGATGTAAGGTTTCCATCACAAGAATGTTTGATCAGTTTTATAAACCTTTGTAATTAAAATAGGTTTAAAACATCATCGGTGAGAACTGAGATATTCATTGTTGCATTAGTGCTGGAATGACAGAAAATGTGGTGAGACGAGTCAATAAACTCCCAGAAATAAGAGCTTGCAGAGCAGAATCATTATCAAGCCTGTTGGGGCCACAATGAGGGGCAGCGCTCCCAGTTTGGAGCTGGAGCAGGAGCAGGAGCAGCAGCAGCAGCAGCAGCAGCAGCAATGCACTCTGGACAATGTTACAAAAGCAGTTGCTAAATTCACAGTCCTTCAGAAATAAGTTTTTTTTTTCTTTGTTTGTTTGTTTGTTTTAAGCGCCCACTCTTTCAGGCCTCCAAAAAAAGACCACTATCACCCTCCTTGGTGTCCAACTGTTTTGTTCTGCACCAACTTCACTGATCCCCATATTGCTGACAACACTACACATGCACAACAATTTTAGTCCAGCTGTACAACTCTTGACCCCTTCACACAATTACAGGTCTCCAGCGGTCAGCTTCAATGCTGTTAACACTGCTGGACCCATAGGGTCCGGAGGCAACATCATCCAGGTATGCTCCAACCATGCGAGTACTGCTCGGACCAGAGCCATCAATCTGGGTGGAGGAATAGTACAGGCCCTGGTCATTCATCTCCTTACGACCAAGGTTTGCAGCGACGGTTGGAGGAAGGTGGACATCACTTTCATCTGGCTCATCTACCTGCGACTTGTAGGAGAATAGGATCTTGGGCTCTGAACTGCAGAGATGAGGGAAAAGGTAAGCTTTTATTTGTACAGACCGAAAACTATCAACTCCTGCAGTGCTCATCAAATAAATCAAGCATCTAAACTGATGTAAGAGAAAACCACTTCGTGGTCATATCTATAGGCTACATTTCCTGAATCCTGTCTGACATAAGTCCTCAATACAAACATAATTACAAAGACTAAAACTAACACTGAAACAAACAAAATAAATAAAACAAACTAAAATATTACATTTTCAAACAAAAAAGCTAAACTGAAATTAGCAAATTCACCTGGAAACTAAACCAAAAGCAAAGCTGAATTTAAAAAACAAGGAAGTAGAAAAAATAAAAACTAATAAGAAAAAAAACAAATGTATAATTAGTGCTGATCACACTCTTATTCTCTACATCTCATGTGACTACATACCCAAAGAAGCCTTTGAGGAATGTGACATAAATGAGCGGAGCGAAGGCAGAGAAGTACAGGAACGTTGTGACATCCACACAGCTGGTTCACAAGAGAAAGAGCAAACCATCTCAGTAAGCTTATTCAGCTCTCAGCTTCACAAAAAGCATAACCAACAGATTGCTGCCTGACTATTATGTTCAGATTCACCCGTATAAACTCCACTGAACTTTGGTGGACCCAGCAAAACAGTGAGTCATCCCAGTGGGTGCAACTCAGCCAACAAAATTAAAATACTAAGAGGTTTTAAAACAGGCAGCCAGCTCCATATCAAGGGCATTTTCTAATAGGCTTACAAAGCATTAGAGCCACAGCTGCTCTGAATGCAGCTATTGTTTCTTCTTAAAAGCATAAAATTAAATATGAGGCTTGATTTACTTATTTTAATCACCAAAAAAAATCTAAATTGGCTTTATAGCTATATAATGTATTTTTGATGTAATATAAGCAAATATGCTTCAGAATACTGACCATAGTCCCTCTATGACTTCAGCACACAACAGAGCACTGCCGAGGCCCTGAACGAGGTTCAGCAATGACAGGATGGCAGCATAGACGTAGAAACTCCTCTTAGCTGGAGAAAGGAAGCCAAACAGAGATCAATCAGGGCTTTGCAGGTAAATTTAATATGTTAAATACCAAGTTTGGCTTTAACGATATTTGAGTAAGAAAAGTGTCTCCCCCCCCCTCTCTTTCAGTCTTTATAGACCGTTAATTTTCACTTGATGAAAAAACAAAACAAAACCAGTGGGACATGCGAAAGTTTGACTATAATTAAGATACTTTTACTGCCCTTTATGTCAGGAAACTTGAGCCATCAAAATGATCTATGCTCCCTCGTTGCCGCCCCCTACTGGCCTCTACTGTGGATAATGACTCACTATGAATAAGACCCTTAATGGAACTTCGCTGATAAATCCCCCAACTACTCTAACTATATAGCAAAGGTCAACAACAATGGCTCTTCTGATCAACTGTGTGAGGATGTGAAAATGAAGACAATGACACAAACGCAGCAGGGGAAATGCAACTGCGTGAGGTAAGTATAGATGTGGTTTTAAAAAGTTAACTCTAAAAGACAAGACACGACTTTATGTGGCCAATTAGGTCAAAAATACTTCTGCTATTGAAAAACTGTAACTTTTTTTTTTATCATATCAAAAGTTAGGAGCAATTCTACTTCTCCAATCTTAACTTTGTTGTTTAATGCAATTTAACTTTTAACTCACATGGCAGAGATATCCTTTCTCTTATTGGAGTTTTTGGTAAGATCACAATCAAAGAGTACACCTATTTAAAAAAAGACAAATATGAGATAACAGGCTGATCATTTATGGTAAAGGATCTTTTTGCTCATGCTGCCATTATAATGGAGTTACTGACCAGAAAGAAAAAGCAGGAGCTTGCCAGCCAGAAGTGCCGGCCCCCGTGACCATAGATGTTGAAGTCCTCCGCTGACAGATGACTGTCAGGATACAGTATCTCTAGCGTGCCCTGAGACAATGTATTATTCAGTTCATCTGCATGCAGAATTTCCTGCTACAATATGTCATGATGGTAATCATTTGAAACTATATTTAACCTCCCATCTGCCATTACCTGTGTGACTGAGTACGCCAGAGCCAACACAGCAGTAATAGCCAGCACACGCTTTATGCTGGATTTGCTCTCCAGGTGGCCTAATGAACAGAGGAAGAATCATGCTTAACAGGAAAACAGCTGCATTAAATTAATTGCACTTAGCACTGAAAAGAAAATTTAAAAAAAACAAAAAAACATATTAAACATATTTGTCATGTAAAAAGCTAGAAACATTACACATCTAAAAATAAAATGTATGGTAAATGAGAACTGAAACCAACATGACAAACTCACCAAAAGCCAGTCCCAAGATGATGACGCTGAGCTCAATAGCCAGCAAGAAAAAACGAGTGATTTCCCAGAGCACCTAAAGAGAAAAGAAATCTTTAGGAGGAATTCCTGTTGTTAAGGAGATCAGCTGTGTATTAACACGTGTTAAGTCGAAGTGCATAACTTTAAAGGTCAGCAGACACACCATTATGTTATATATTCATTCATTCTTTTTTGGTAAATTTAATAGTTTAGCCCTGATAATGTGCAATGGAAATAACAGGTCCATCTCTCTAAGCTCCATAGTGATCTGCCTGGTATGTGTGGAATGAAGCTACGCCTTTTCTTTTAAACATGAAAGGTCAAAAACTTTTTTGGACACTTAATAAAAAGATCTCTCTTGCAGGATATTGTCCCTGTCATTTTAGTACAAGTCAAATATTTATACTGACAGAAACCCAGACTGTTTTGTACACAAGAGACTTAGAAAAGGCATACATTTCAGTCTCTTATAAGCCTATAATTAAAAGACGTTTTAACAAATTCCAGGTATGCTCCCATTTGTACATTGCAGTACCATTAGGAATGAGAAGATACATTTAATTGAAACAGTAGATAATAACTTGAAATTCAGCTCTGTTTTACACCTTTTTCTGAAAACAAACTGACACCGTAACAGACTCGATCGTTTTGGCCGTGGCGTGGCTACGACCAATCACAGATTATAATTTGACTTTAAATTACAACTTGTAGCCATAAACCTGTAAAGTTTTACTTGTGGATCATGCGCTTGCTTACTTTGTCTACAATGGTGGCAGCACTGGATGCACTGACAGTCATGGACACTATAGCCCGGGTAATTCCAACTGCTGCAACAACAAAAACCTAAGAACCACAGCACACAACACGTTAGACTACATGATATAGTCTGTCAACATAACATGGTCATAATAAAATCATATACTGGTGGAAAATTAGGCCAAAGTACAGCTGATAACAATCCTGTACTCAACAACACTATTGACAACAGTTCCTTTATTGCTTTGCCAGGCTGAAGTAAGGTGCATTAATATACGGTTTGACAAATAGATCAATCTTTTACATCTTAAATGCTTTGGTATACCAGTTCAAAGAGGAAAAAGCACATCCACTGATTGTACAGTTTGTGTCCTACCAGAAAGTAAAAAGTGACGAAGATGGGGCTAGAGGTGAGGCGGATCTTTGCCCTGGCAGAGGGCAGCTTCCACATCAGGAATACAAAGAAGGCCACATTAGGCACGAGCAATAAAATGTCCCAGAACCGCACCCTGAAGCAGACAGGTGAATGTGAAGGGTAAATGAAGGGATTAAGTCCTTCAGCAAAGAGTGCGTATCTATAAACATTTTTGATAATCTGGTGAATTTCTACTTTGAACAGTCTCTGTTTTGCACTTATAGCAACAGTAGTTTCAACAGTAATTTTGCACAATCAACTGATTACCTGGATTCTCCAATGTCCTCATACAGAACTTGTAGGCATTTGTGAGGCTTGGTGATGTTGTTTTGGGTATCAGGTTGCCAGGTCGAGAATGCTGTTGTGTTTCCCAGTGGCGTAGGTGAAACACTGCCATTATCCTGAGAAAAACTAACCACAGTAGTCACTGTGGCTAGCATGGTGTCAGAGCCTGAGGGAAGACATATCTGATTAAGTCAAATAATATTTTAAACACGGTTAGTCATTTTGAAATATGTAAGAACTTTACTGTAGGGGTGCTGCAGGTACTGAAGGGGTCTGCTTTAGCTACATACAAGATTGCTGTATCCTCCTTTAAAGAATTTACAGTTGGTCTTCTAGATAAAGCTATATACACGGGAACACTTATTTAAGAAGTAGTGCAGTCGATGCATCAAGAAATCACAGCTCATGTACTTGAACGTTACATAATGAGAAACTCGACATGCAGTGTTCAGTGCCAAGCATTAACACTAATCTCGTTAACATTTACTTGACGCCCACTCAACAACTGGACAAGAGACAAGTTACAGTAGCCTTCCAAACTTGTCCACAGCTTACAAAAATACCAGGGGCTAAGACTAACATACGTACATTTTTTGCTAGAGTCAGCTAAAGTTGAAAAGGGGCAGGAATCATGTCGCAGCAGGACTTCTGCGTATTATATATCGGAATACTTTCAGTTAGGGAAGAGGAATTTCAGACATTAGCTAAGCCGCTAAGCTCGTTAGCTCCCGTCGGAATTTGTGTTTATTAAACGAAACTACTCGCTCATTCCTCAGAAACAAATTCGTCAATGACGATAGTACTCATGGTACATGCGGCTTGTTTATGTAACATAAAGTACCAGAGATTAAAAGCCGATGGACTAGCGTTAGCAACAAAACAAACTGGTGGCAGTGTACTGACGCCGACACAGCGTGGAGCATGAAATAGTAAATATTAGCATCTTACCTTTTCAGAAGACTCGGAATTAAGGATATAACTGCTGTAAAATATATTATTCAATAATGTAATTCAAGCACGTGTGTTGTCATACACATAGTAATCGACCGACACACTGGTCTCCAACAGGGGACATAGCTATGCCAGATACTTTCGTTAACAAATTTCCCGTCGGGTCAGCTGACACTCTCACCCACCAAACAGAATGAGCAAGTCTCGCGAGATGTCATACTTATTAATGAAATGGATGTGGTAGTAGGGAGGTTTTGTTTACGTAATACTTAAGCAAGTAAAACACAAAGCACAAAAGACTGATCTCTCACAAATGTGTAAAATAGCGTGTATGGTTGTGAAGACTAATTGTATAATGATAATATATTATGAAACAGAGGCCCTGGGGATTTTGTAAGGAGTTTATTTATCAGTTAAAGTAGAAAAACATCTTTAAAAGTACATCTTTATTTTAAAGTGTTCTTCCTTGTTTACATTATATTAGGAGTGCATTATGCTGGAGTAATAAAAAATATATTTATCCACATTCCCCTCTGAACTCTGCATGTCTGCGCTAGTCTTTCAGTCATTCAGCAAGTATTTCACTCGTATTAACAACTTTATGTTGATGCCAAATTGAGAAGCATCCCTCCGTCATTATGTAAAGCCTCTAGTACAAGGCAAAACTGTTTTATTGTACAAGTCTTAACTTAAATTATTTACTATTTTTTTCTATGCACAGTTTGTTAAATTGTGGTTACAATTATGAATAAATTGTGACACGGCCTTTTGGGTGACCTGACATCATCCTGTAGGCCAGGTGCACTGGTTCAGTTAAGTTAGCTTTAAATGTATAAATGTGAGTCTTTCCACTGGTAGGGCTAACATTGTAGAAGCTCAGCCTGTGGGTCTTGAAGCTCAGCTTGATCTCAAGTCTGCGTGACACTGTGGTCCTCTTCAAAGGCACACTGTGACTTTGCTCGAAGGCAGTCAGAAGGTTGTTGAACCACATCAGACACCAAGAGCTTCGACTGCTTTCCAGAGCAGATGGCACCCCGCTGCGTTCTAGTTTCCCACTGTAGCACACGCCAATGATCCAAGGTGACCCCTCCAGCTCCACCTCCCAGCAATGATCACCTTCAGAGAAGCTTTGGTTGCTGAGGACCTGGAAGAAGCTGGCGAACCTCTTAGGAGAGGACGGGTAGTTCTGTTTGGCAGCACTAAATGTGGCCGTTTTCAAGTCCTCTGAGAGAACAAGGTTAGGGTGGACTGTTTCTGGATCAAAGGTGATCTCAGAAGGGTTGAGGGTGTTTCGAAGAGAGCGCTGAATCTCTCCGAGTCTTTCCCTCAGCTCAGCATTCATGTCTTCCACCTTGGGACAAGCCTGTGCAAGGTTGACTTTTACCTTAACAAGCTCTTCCTCTTCTCCCACTTGTTTTGAAATCAAATCTGCAATTTGTGGTTGCAAACGTTGGAGCTCTTCACTAAATGTTGCCCCATCGTCTTCTTTCAAAAGGGATTCAGCTGTTTGCAAAGCCTGCCTCAGCTGCTCGGTCAGCTCAGAGGCCTGACTGACCCGAGAGCATATGATGGCCTCAGGTAGACCTAACTGTTCTTCAATCATCTGTGTCACTCCCTCGATGTAGTTCTGCGACAGCTCCTTTATCTTCTCTAACAGGCCGGATGCTTTCTCTCTCAGCCGACCACTAGCAGTGGTCACCTCTAACTCCAACTCCTTTTCTTTCTTAAGGATACCCTCTGCCATCTCTAACTTGACGTTCAGCTCAGTTACTTGCGACGCCAGTTTAAACTTTGGTTCATCCAGTTCCATTTTGCCTCTGCCACCACCTTTTTCCTGATCCATTGAAAAGGGATGCTCTGTGGATCCAGACCCAATTCGAAACCCATCCTTTGCTTTGCATTCTTCGCTCTCCTCTTGGAGCTCTCCAGCTTTTTCTTGCACTTGGTGATATTTGGCTTCAGATTCCTCTGTCATAGAGCTATGATCGCTCTCGACTGTTACATAGCTGCCATCAGCAGGGTTTCCAGGGGGGAGGACTTTCCCAGCAGTGGCTTTGTAGGTTTCTACAATACTACGCATTTTGAAGTTCTTCACGAGGGCATCGGATCCCTGGTACTCAGAATGACACTCGGGGCAGTTGTGATGGTCAAGGCCTTCTGCCATGGTCTCAAGACAGGCAAAACAGTAGAAATGACCGCAAGGAAGAGAAACTGGGTCAGAGAATAGTTGCAGGCAAATGGGACATGTAAGCTCCAAAGCCAAAGCCTCTTCATTCTCACTCTCAGACATGATGACAGGTGCTGAAAAAAATAGACAACCTGGGGTAAACATTTGCAATGGTAAGTAATTCACAATACACAATTAATGTAATTAAAAAGGGCTTCCATTCTACACTAATTATTATGAATGAATGCATATATGACTACATGTATGAATCACAGATCAATTTTCAATACTTTTTACTATGTAAAAGTATTGATTTTACATATGCAAGTTAAAACAACAATGGGAAAGAAAAATCCATTATTATAAGAGATTCTGGAGTAGCACTGCATATCTCTGAAGGCACCATTAATGATGATTGGCATTACAGATGATTCGGAACAATATATGCTGCCAGAAAGAAGGCGTGCTGATGTCAGCAAGACATTGCCATGACACTTTGTGCGTGTATTACAGCAGTATGTTACTAAACTGGTTTGGCAGCGGTCCAGACCTAATGCAAACACAGTAGAAAGAAAAAAAAAAAATGCTGACAGCGATTAAATACCAAGCTCTTTAGCTTCTGTCTTCTTAATGACCAAACTGCAAACCAACCAAGTTTTACATTTGTTTGTTTTGTTTGAGCATCGAAATGAAGTGTATTTCACCTGGCAGAGGAGAAAAACAACTATTACAACAAAACACAGGGGAAAGGACACCAGTGAGGACTTGCTGATGTGGGTAGACGTAATTTACAGAACTTTGGCCATGACCTCGACAGTATGGATAGATTTACAGTTAGAATCACTATCAGAAAAATATATGTGCAACCGTAACATTGATTTGCAGCTCTGTTACTTCTATCCCGGCTACGTTTTTGTCATTATCTAATAACAAATATTTATTTTCTCGGCTTCCAAAAGGTTTAATCTGGTTTAATTTTCATGGTCTGGGGGTTAGATGCATAATGTATTTGAGCGATATCGACTTCTTTTCTAGATAGGGTTGATAAGCTGAAAACAGCAAACACATTATGGAAACAGACGGACAAACCACGGTTTTTTTTGTTTTTTTTTTTTAGTTTTCTGAAATGCATTACAATAAAAATGATAATTAGATATTTTCCCATAACTGGTAACGTCTACATTGTTCCCCGTGTCTCACATATTTTCTTGCAGTAGTAAAATCCGGAAGTTACACCAGTGACTAAGCACAACAACTGAAGAGTTACTGAAAAGAAAATAAGACCATATCGTCACAGGATGCCTTTCACATTATACCTGCTGTAAATGAAAACTTGCAGTCATGGCCATAAAAGGGGAAACGGAAAGATCTACGAGTAACTGGTAAGAAGACTGTTAACCTGTTGGTTAAGTTTCGCTTTCCTGAGAACAGGACGCACACAAGCGGAATCCAAAGGTCACTTTCCTTCACATGTACGATGAACGTTTTCCTGCTAGGGTGGGAACAAAAGATGAGCTCACTTAATTCGGCTTTGTTTTCTTATTAAATCGCACATTGCACGATTGCTCTTCAAAAGCCTCTCAAGCCCCAAATTTCTGGGGCATCGTGTAAAGCGTAAGCACTTATTTAGAAACATTTAATTATTATTATTATTATTTTAAAACATACCATCCAGCTTTAAAGACTTACCTGAAGGAACCGTAATTTTTTGTGTTGCTTCTTCCGTGTCAGGTGCGTCAACAAAACGCCCTGCGCAGAGGTCCGCTGTAACCCTGGTAGCCTTCAGCAAACACTGATGCCGTCACCTACCCACGTGGAGCTAATAAAACTGCAGCTACCAATGGAATTTGTTAGCTCTTTATTCGATTACTTTGTATTGCATTTTATTGTATTACAGATGTTAATGCACATTTAAAAAAAAAAAAATCCCACCTGGCAATTTAACCTCACTCTTGCAATAGTTAATCTTTTAAACTGAAGTCAAGCATATCATTAAAAACAAATGACGACATGCGTATTTCTGCATACTTGGTCTAAACAGTAACAGCCGTATCCTCAGCTTCAATGCATTGCCACACAGTTTGAGGACAAAAGATGTGCAAGAAAATACAAAAAAATAAACACAACAGTGTCATCACAAAGTGGAACAGCTGCCTGCTCAACTGAAATGTAATTCGCTGTAGGTCTGAGGCACTCTCACTCATGTAGTGTACAAACTGTAATCTGCTTGCTTACTTTATATTTAGACTTGACACAGTGGTAGTATTCTATTACAGCTTTCCATTCAAGGGGGTTTGCATTCACCCGTGTCAACTTTAACTTAAAAACACTCCATTAACAGTCACTGCAGATCAGGCAATACCTCACGAGCTACATCCAAATGAATGGAAACCACCTCTAAAGTAAAGCATTTTAAACATGTGTTGAATATATATTTGGTTTCTCAGCACATGTAGCTGCAATCTACACCCAAACACTCAAATCCATAAGACATTTTCAGCAGCACACAGTCATAAATTCTCTACAATCTTCTTAGAATAAAGGACAACACATTTAATTTAATGTTTTGGAGGGTTTAGGCATCACACATCTAATAAAGTTCAGTTTTATATCTGTACAGGTTCATAGCTGATGTCTGAGTAGTTGGGCCAATATCTAAATATTATATTTTTGTGCTGCTGTAACACTGGTACACAGTAACAACAAGTTCAAAACAGTTCAAGGCATATGTTTTCCTGTTGTGGCATATTGATTGTAGTATAATACACAAACAGCAAAATATAACAGACACAGTCAGCAGTGCATTGATTGGGCTCCGCCTTTGAGTGCAACAGAAGAAGAGAGAGCGGTCTCTTTATGTTTCAGTTTATTCAGTGGCTCATACACAGGCACTCCAGTTGACAAAGGCAACAGTCACTCAAGCCGGCAAAAACCTGGGAATATATGTGCTTGCCTTAGCTTGTGTATGTTTTGTGTGCGGGTTTGGCACTGCGTGTCTACAGTAGTGCATCCAGGTCCAGCTCTGGTAGAGGCTCCTTCCAATAGGAAAAACTACTGTAGTCAGGACAGTCAAGAACAGAGGATGTCCTGCCCTCAGCAGAAAGCAAAGGGAAGAAATGCTCCACCAACTCACTGAGGTGGCTGTACCTGCAAAACATGAAGGATTATAAAAACACAAATGAGAACACCATTAATATTTATATATGGAAGGTGAGGGGTCTAAAAAAAATGTCCACATTAAAGATTACAGGCATGTTCTGAAAGCTGTGCTCCTGCATGGAGAATTATCGTGTTAGTCATTTAAACTTCAATTATAGGTTTAAAAAAATATATAACATCTTGAATTGTTGATATTTCTTTTTTTTTTTTAAACAAGAGTGCTTAAAATCAGCTGTAATGTAAAATCAGATGTGTACTCCTTGTCATAAGCCAGAGAAATATCATCAGATGCATCATAACTCTAGTTCTTAAGCAGTCCATGGAAGAAGAGAGTATGTACTGAGAAAACTATCACACCGAAAGAGCAAAAAAATTGAAAAATAATTTAAGAAATGCCAAAGGATTTTTAACCACTGGACATCAATCCACAGATGGGTTATAATAACAAACCCAGATCACTGCTATACACAGATGTTTGGTTTTATTTACTTTTTAGCCTGTATTTTTTAGCCTTGTTCTTTTTAGTTTAAGCTCCTCATCCCCTAAAGAGCATAACCTATGCTTTTTAACTATTGCTTGATTTGTATGGTCTAATAAAACATGTGTAAAGTGTCCTATATCTACACATTTTGTTTCCCTTTTAAAAAGAAAACAGTATTGCTTTTCAGCAATGTAATTTCCCATCACTTGTCTCCTGCATACTTACGAAGACTTGTTGCCTTTAGTCTTCTCCTGGATGAGCTCTCCTTTTGGGTTGACGGTAAATATCCTGGTTTCAGGCACTCCAACCTGCTTATAGGCATATGCATCCTGTAAAAGTCCAGGCAGCAACAGACAGGAGTTTAAGGTTAATCTTCTCTTAACCTCTGCAGCATTTATGTGCGCCAAACTGTGCCATTGGAGCACAAATCAATAATTATAAATCATTATCCAATGTTTTATTCATTTCCACAAGCAACACTTTATTACTATATTTCTCATAATTTAATTCTACATGTGTTGCAATGATATATAAACACAGTCTTGTGCCAGGGGTTAAAATAACTGCCAGACAAACAGCTTAATACCTGGGAAACTTAAAATAAATGGAAAACTTCAAATACACTTGATGGTTCGATGCACGGCTGTGGTAAAAGCAGCCCCGTAGCATTGCTCACATTAGTCCTGTTGCCGAAAGCTGCGTAGAAAGGCTGTCTGTGTGGGCTGAACAAGTCCCTGATGTCACCGAGGCAGGCGACTTTAAAGACCTCCGGCTTCTTCTCAATCACCTCTCTGCACACATGGTTTACAGTTAAAATACACATCTGTTCAACTGATTGTCCCTTTCATACATTTTTTGTCTTTGGCAATAGCTGAGCATTGGCAATTTGGCCACTAGGGGTCAGCAGTACATTAAAATACAATTTTATTTTCATTTTTAAACAGCTTCATCCTACATCTCTTTTCTGTTTAACAGTTCAGTACGAATATGTGGTACCTGTGCAGTGCTGAAAAAAGGCTGCTGGGAGCCAGCAGTACGGGGCCCTTGGGCAGGACGGTACCTTTGTCATTGACCCACTGCAGATAGTCTTTGGTAATAGCAGCCATACCTATAGCTCGTGCTGAACAATACAGGAACTTGTAGCCATTTCTGCAAAGAAAGCGACAGTGATATAAATTTTTACTTTAATGTGGGAACAATTTATCTACAGTGCTTAAAAATGTATTAGACTACAAGGCAATGTAAGGTTCATGTCACAGCTGCCCTATATTAACCTTATTGGTAATCTCCAAAATTATTTTTGTACGTTTCTGTAATGTTTAAACTACAGGTACGATATTAAATATCATAATATTCAATTTAACATACTTGTGTATTTTGTGATAGAGTTTGGCGATGCCTTTGTGCGTCCAGTCTTTTCCAAACTGAGGTAGGATATGACCGAGAGCGTCAGACCTGCAGGAGACCAAAATTGAAGACTGCTCAAAATGCAAAAGAATGAGGCTGATTAAAAAAAGAAAAACAGACAGATGGAGTCTGCTGTAAATCTTTTTGGGGAATAGTGTATATTAATTTGTGCCCATAGCTGTTTGTTAATCTAAGACACTATAATTTTGCATGAAATCGTGTTTGTTCTTACTTGGTGATGGTGCCGTCTATGTCAGATATGATCACACGATCGTCCCAGTTCCACAGGTAGATAGCAGCCTCACAGCGACAGGTGCCCTGGTATTGTGTGGTCACACTGAACACCACCTTGTTAGCTCCTTCATGCAGGTTTAAATGCTCCTGGGTATGGGGAGGACAGTTAAATACATCCTAACATAAACTGATTGTGATACATAAGAATTTATCGAGGTGCATGAACATTTGTGCAAATTTATCTCCTACTATTTGTTTAGACGTCAGACGTAATGATTTGCGGTACATCTGGCTGATAGACTGAGCCGTGTTGAGGGCTTCTGTTGAAAGACTGGAAGAAATGACAGCCGTTCGCCCAAGGCCCGCTGCCTCATCACTGTCCACATCATCCAATGTCGCTCTGAAGAAACAATATTAAAATGTCGTGTCTAATTTGTTTGGCAATGGACTGTTTGCGAAGAGTTGGAGGCTGTTTTACAGACAACGACCCTTTGACTGCTTTGAGTCTATAAAAATGTTAAAAACTAGAGAACATGTACTGAAGCTTTGGATAGCTGTCAGCCACATTTAACAACACAAAGAAAAAGCACTCGTCTTGTTGCTACAGTTTATAGATAGTTCTTTTAAAATTTGTGACTTGAGAATAAAATCTGATACTAGAAAGAGAAGGCCACAGAAGACAAAAACATTTTTTTATGCCTAGCACAACAAAGACAACTCTGGAAGATATTTTGCAACAATGATAGTTACTGTAATTAAAGGTGTCTTACTTTACTGTGGAAGAAACACTTGCCAGTGGCTCCTCTCGCTCCTCCTTTGAGTTTTTCTGCTGGGAAAAACAAAACAAACCAACCAACATTGGCATCATTTTATCCGAGCTGATGTTGGCTGAAAAGGCTGCGTCCTCACAAGATTTAATTTCTGCAGGTCCAGTGTGTTTTCTTCTGGGTACACTGTCAAAACCTAATAAATAACGACTGTGATGAGTTCCTGAGCATCTACCTGGCTGCTGTCCATGTCTCTCCTTCTCCAGGAAAACCACCAGCGTCCAGATTTTTTGGGCATCTTGTCTTTCACCAGTCGCTCTATTGTACTCTATGGAAAAAAAAAGACAACAAATATATTCCCCCTGTTGTGATTATCTTTTTATACATAAAATATAAAAATTGTACCAGAATATAAAGGAAGCTTCTTTAGGTAACATTTTTGTGGTTTAGTTTTAATACAATAAAATACCTTTGGTAGGTTTTTCTGAAAGGACATCATTGACAAAACCATTGGAGCAGCCACTGCCCAGTTGTAATAGCTGTGAGAAAAGAAAGAAAAACAGCTGATGAAGAGTCATGGATATAAACCTGTTGGAGTAATAACATAGTGGTGACTTTAGAAATACATTATTATATACTTTTTAGAATCATACTTGGAGTTTATGCAGATGACAAGACTTGGATCCTCAATGATTCCTGGATTCTTGGCAAAATCCTGATATGTCACAAGGTGCTCCATAAACTTTTCTGAAGTAAGAAG